AACACTATTTTCCTGCCCTTGTCCTGTAAAGAAACAAGTCTCAAGGAAAACAGGTGGAAGTACTTCAACCTAAGGAACTAACTCGCAGCTGAATTTCACATGGGATTCAAACTGTAAAATGCTGGGATACCATAAAAGATATAAAATTTTTTATATCTGATGTATGAGTAAGTATAAAGTCATTCACTTACAAAATTTTGCATTTAGGGAAACAAAAAAACCAAAACCCGGAGGTTTTTAGAGGTTTGTTTTAGAAAATTAACAATGTAACTGACAACCATCTACATGAAACCTCAGTTTATAAATATACTGCTATATTAGCTTCATTTTATTATTATCTAACCCACTCCTTTACAGCCATTGCATCTGCCATCTATGCCACCTTTGACTGAAGCCATACATAGAGTTGATGAGACCTCAACACACCAGTAGGTGTCAAAACGTTCATGAAGCCCCCAAAAGTGAATTAGCTGCTGCCAGAACAGAAAACAAACTATTTTTGATGCCAAAATTAGGTTACTTATTGTACGCCAAGCACAGAAGTAGCAATTTGTGTAGCCATGATGAGAGAGGAAACTCACTGCATGGGCTGCAAACAATACAGATTTTTTCCAGCAAGATTCCTGCATCCATCTACACAGCAAAATGAACTACTTGGACCTAAATTTGCCTTCTGGTTGGTGTTATTCTATTATTGGAATAGATATTTCTGATTCTTCAAAGTGTGACTCCTCTGACCTCTTCCAGTCAAGTCCCTCTTAGTATGTTTGTCTTCTTCGTTATCTGCCCCCAGTCCAGGCTTCTTCATTCACCCACACCATACTGTCCTCCTGCTGCTGGAACAACTTGTTCCTAAGACTCTTGCTCAACTAGCATAAATTCCCCAACTCCTGGCTTCTTTCTCCGATTTCTCATTGACTCCAGAGCTATTCTGTGGATCATATAGGCAATTAAGTCTAAGATCTGCTTAATTCAGTGCCTGACTTCTACCTGATGAGTATCGTGTCACAGGAGCTTTGGCAGAGCTTAAGCATGGGGTCCAACAGCTTATTTTTATGTGCATTTGAAATATCCACAGCAGTATTGTAGCTAACCTTTTCTGGTTAGCTGGGAAAGGTAAAAGAAAGTCCGCCCAAACCACTGCTGCAGTCCCTGATAAAAAATGAGGAAAAAAAAATGCCATCTTCAGATTACCTCTGGTCTTTGCTACATCCACTGACTGAGAATAAAGCAAAGTTCTGCTTAAACGCAGTCTAAGCACTCTCCTCATTTCATTAAAAAGAACACCTTTCCACCACATGAACATACTTTCCCTAACTCCTTTAAATTCTCAGCCCATGTTTTTTTCTCTGCAGTGGTCTTTCACCTCTTCTTCCTCTTTTTCTACTCAAGGATTTTCTATTCCATCTTTCCTCACAGTTTAAGTGCTCCCTACCTATTATCCACGTCCTCCCCTTCTTAATCCATTAGCCCCAGAAATGTATTGACATCCCTATCCAAACCTGTTTCTGCCTTTACATTTGATGTGTCTTCTGCTTTCCACGTCCTTCTGTCAGGTGTAGCTTAAGTCCTGCTTTTATTCCAGTCAGGCCGTTTCTTTCTCATGACCATGATTCCAGAAAGGGGTGGCATTAGAAATGCTCCTCCCTTTGAGGCCAAAGGGTGTGTTGATGCAGAAACCCCTGCTTGTATGAAAACCTTCTCACCCATGCATACAATTCTGAGGTTTTATCTACAGAAATCTAATAGACTTAACTCTCTAATTACCAATTATAGGTATCTGAACATTTTAATGTGGCTTTATTTGCACCAAGAAAGGAGCTCAGCTAACAGATTTGTCAGGAATATATCAAGTGTAGGCAAGTATCAGCTATAATAGGATAACAGGTCTCGTAGATTGGGGCAGAAACACAATCAATGTAACTTCAGTTTATTAAGGCTTTGAATGTTTTCTAATGTGACAGTCTCATTAAGGAGTTAGGAGATCACGATATACTTACAAATGAAAGAAACTGTGAAATAGGTGCAAAACTAGCACGGAAATGGTACTCTTGGAGTGGGTATCACTGTCAAACTGGAAATACAAGCCAAAGAGGATTCCTCTGGGGACTTTTCTCCATTCAACACAATTCAGTATTTCATTTTAGGATTTATATGCTGAAATATAGGCTGCAGGTAGCAAAGCTGAGGTAGATTGTTTGTAAGAAGCTAGAGATTAATATTAGAATTCAAGATCATGCCAACAACCTGGAGAAATGATCTGAAACAAATAGGGTGCAATTCAGTGCAGACACAATTAAGGCTCTGTGTTCAGCACAAACGCAGGCAGGAGGTGAACGACAGTGCAGGACTCCTGCAGAAAATAGTTTTGAGATATGGGAGGCACTGTGGACCATAAGTCAACAACATACTACAGCATATAAACAAAAGAACCTGTAAGACTAGGGAAATAATGCTTCCACTCCATCTGACGCTGGTAAAGCCCCCACTAAAACACTGTGCTCCAGTTTGGGCACTACATTTTTAAGAAACATGCAGACCAGATGGAGAGAAGGCAGAGGACAGCAGAAGGAATAATCAGACATCTAGAAAACATGGTCTGAAGAGAAAGCTTAAATTAACTCAGATAGTTTTGCATAGGGAAAGATAAAATAAAGGGGAGATATAGTAAATTAACTCAGATAGTTTTGCATAGGGAAAAATAAAATAAAGGGGAGATATAGTCAAACAAATACATGGAAGGTGCAGAAGTACTTCATGTCCATGGGAATAGGGTAGTAAGTCACAGACCTGAAGTGAAAAAAGGGACATTTAGGGAAGACATGAGGAAAAACTTGCTCATGGTACAGATAGACACTTAGAGTGCCTCGACAGGCTATGAAATGATCAGATTTTAGAGAAAACACAAACGCACATTTGTCAGAAGTGGTTTAAACCCAGCTGAGCCTGATCTTTGGTAGATGAGTAGTCTAGATGAGATCCTCCCAAAATTCCTTCCAATTCTGTTTTCTAAGGCTTCTCTCTGACGTTATGCACTGGATCAGTAAATAATACGGAGCAACTATTACACAGATCACTGGGATGGCAGATAACAGTAGAAGTGAATGATGTATTGCAGCTATTAATGGCATATATATACACTAATGTAAGGCTTTAGGTCAGTGCTTTGTATTGACAGTCACAGCACGAAACAGCAGCATAAGCCATTTGGAAAAACCTGTTACGCTTCGAAAAAGCCCAGAAATTCTTATATGTAATATAGTCATTATGGAAAAATGATGAAAAAAAATCAGTTACTTCCTGTCTTTGCATCAAATACTCAAGGATCAAACAGATATGCCAGTCTTTGGCTGAAGGAAGAAAAGGACACTCCTAATAAGAAGACCGCAACATTTCGAATAAAATTATACTACAGAGCACAGTAAGTTCAACCAAAGAAACTGTAAAGTATCACCTTTGAGGCTTCAACCTTTCATATTAATCTAAAAAGGTCAAGACTATACAGGCCCTTCTGACTTCAGCATGGATCTCCACAGGCAGAAAGTTGCATCCACATAGACAAAGCAGGATAATTATATGCAGACATATTAAGTATCTTTTGCATGGGTCTCGGCAGAGAAAACTCCAATTGTACACTGTTTTTGCAAGTCAGTGCAAAAAAAAAAAAACCAAACAAAAAAGGCAAAAAGCCAACTGAAAGAAAAAACACCTGTAAGATACAAAGACATTTATCAACGAAAAAACATACAGTGTTTTAGCCAGATGAGACCTGTTAATGCTGAGTCAAACTTCTACACTGAAGCCACAAAATTCCACAGCTACAGAAATGATATTCTACTCTCCTATTTTGAGTTTGTGTGTATACACATACATACGTACGTGTGCGTCTGTATATATCTGCATGCCACGGCCTGTTAGTGTCCCCCAACCTATGAAATTCTATAGACAGCTTTTGCTCATAAATCTAACAGGCACTTTTTCTTTCAGGAGAACAAATCCTCAATCTAGTTTCAAGGAGTTGTAAAAGACAGCTCCTGTGATTCACCCCCTCCCCTCAACAGAAGCACTGCTTGTTAATCCAGCAGGAAATAACATTTGCCAGGATTGACAGCTGTGGATTTGTATTCAATTCCCAAATTAAAAATCAATGGCAGGGCCTAGTTCAATGGAGATGTCAAGCAAAATGAAGAAAGTAAAAAACCTGCTGCTTTCTCCATAAAATAGAAATATACATACATTTTGGATAACAATACTAAAAGCTGGGAAGGAGATATAATGGGATTAAAGCTGTGTGCAAAGTTTCTCCTGAGGGTTTTTTTTTTGTTGTTTTTTTTCCCCCCGAAAATCTAATATTTTGTATTTTCTCTCTTACACATTAAGTATTCCTTTTACTCCTAATATATGTTTTAAAACCTCTTAAAATCTATTTCAATAACTACTTAAAACCCTGCAAAAAATACAATGTAAAAATTTTCACAGTCAAATCAGCAAAATCTCCATATATAACATTCATTATTGTCCAATGCAAAGAAGGCTTAATTACAGCCCAAATATTATGAAGAGATCTCATGGCACATGTTCTCATGCTTCTGCAAAATTGTATTAATAGTAAACCAGAGTCCACCTTGGGCAGCTTCTATTGTTAATCGGAATAATAAGAATCAGCAATGGAAACCATCTGACACAGTACAAAGACCAGCTGTTTTCTTGTGCTGTAACAAACTGCTCTGAAGAGCCCAATGCAACTTTTCCCAGTTCTAATAGTCTTTGGAATAAATTGCAGTAGTGTCATTCTTACTGTGAATTCAATCCCATAATTATAATTCCTTAAGTCTCTATAAATACGCCTCTCACTTGCTGAACATTACACCTTTCATATACTTTCAGATGTCCATGTTTCTCCAACACACTATTTAAATATGGGAATAGGGAACATTAATTTACATTCAAGCCACTTCAGCTATCTCTGAAATGATAGAATACGAAGTGCTTAGATTTACCTGTAAGAAGTGATCTTCCTTAGGTCTGATACAGCAACACGATAGCCACACTCCTCTAAGATCTCCCCACATGCAATTTCTTCTAAAGAAAGGCCTGGTTTGTCTACGATGCCAGCACAGAGTTCGTAGGTCACTCCTACCGCAGCAGGCAAGGGATCCTCTAAACGGGAGGAGATCTCCTTGTCCTGGTTCTGAAGGACTTGAGGATGATGTCTTTCTACTTCACACATGTAAACAGCTTTAAAAAAAAAAACACAAACACAAAACAAAAGAAAAAGAAACAATTGGGAGGGATGTTAGTTATGTTAAATAGAAGAAAAGATGATACACAAATTTTGCCTGGAAATTTATAACCATCGGAGTACTTGAGAGTAACAAGGAATTCAGTTGTATTACCTGTTAAAATTATGACACAATGAAATGGAAATTTTACAGAACAAAGGTTCTCTTGCCATTTCTGTAGAATTATTCTTTAAACTCTATTTGTGCTTACACCAGTTGGAACAAATTCACGCACACCTTAAAATAAATAAGAATAAAAAAAGGAAACTAGTTCATCCAAGAAGTGTCATACAGCTTCCATTTGTTGGGCAATGTGGATTTCAGGATTTTATTTAAACTATGCAGTTATCTTGCAGGAAAGTTGGGTTGCACATTATGTACCATGTGCACAATGATGAGTCTTTCAGCCTGTCAACTCAGCTGTTATTTAGAAAGGCTATGAAAAGCATGTATGTTTGTTTGAAAAAAAAAATCCTCTTCTGAACATATAGTTCTATGCACAGATTCCTGTGTGGAGTCTGAAAAAGACTTCTTGAATTCATCTACAAACAGCTGCCACTGTAATGCACTCCTAAAGAAAGTGCAAATGCCAGATTTTAGTCCTTATTTAAGCAAAACCTCTCACTAATGTCAACAGAAATTTTGCTTGAGAGAGAACTGCAGGACTGGATGTTAATACACAAAGACTCACAAAGACAATTCCAGGTCATTTTAACTTTAATTTACAGGTATAATCCCACCTGTTTCTTCTCTGAAATTTCCTCATGTCTATCACTTTGCATGAAAGGTTACGATGAGGGTGTTATAAAACACCCCGAATAAAACTATTTAAAATTTGAAATTATTTTTATTCCATTACAATATTTTTACTTACATATTTCATATACACATAATGGTTTTCAAATGACCTCATCTTTTGTTTCCCATTCTAAATCTAACTGGTATATAAAAGAGCTCAGGTTTGATGGACAACTTTTTGTCCTTCCAGTTAGTGTATTTAGCTTATTATTTCTTAAAAATGCGATGTACAACAAAGTATATCATCACAGTAAAAAGTGATGCAAAGTAAAGCATCACAGTGACTTCTGGATCGCTTGGTCTCTGGGGAAGAATCTATACCCTTGAAGTTTGTGCCTAGGCTCCTTTTACAATGCTTCTTGCCTCAGAAGTAGAGAACAGCAAGATCAGCACCTGAAAGGAAGATATCTAGAGCAGTCTCAAAAGACAGAGGAAATGCTGAAGTTTGCCCCCAAACTAATCTTTCTCCAAAACTTAAAACTTTCAAAGCTGTTTGCAGGAGATACATTTAGGCCTTTGAGATTCAAACAGTTAAGGAAAGGAGCTTCCATTTCTTGGTTTAAAAAAAAAAACAAACACATGACTAGAGCTCAGTTTTCTTTTTAAAATGCAGCAAGAAGGCAGCAAAAAAAAAAAAAACCGAAAACTATTCCAGGCAGAGTCTGAAGGACAGATCTTTGAAGGGTGTCTATTGTCATTATTCCAAAAACTTCTAAAAACTATGACAATTATCACAAATGACAACTACCTCCAGGATCTCTGTGAGATGAGCCAAATACTCTTAAGACTGTATTGCTTTCTCAGTATTGACTTATCCATATCAGTTAACACAAAAGGGAACAATGCACACATCCCAGGAAAGGACTTGGACACCAAAACAGGATACAGGTAAGACTGTGGGTACAGAAACATGAAACTGTGATTAAAGTAATTCTCTGTTACAAGCCTCCTGAATCCCCGAAACCCATCCTGTCATTCCAGCAGGCACCTGCTGTTCTCCTTCTCCCTCAGCACAACTGGGCTCCACATAGATCAAACCTACATTCCCAGAAGGACCCAATCCAGCCCTCTTCAACACTCAAAGCACACTAACAGCTTTTCTCTGCAGATAAGGCAGAAAGGAAGTGGTATCAGCCACTTCTGTAAGAGGCCAAAAATTAGAGCATCCACCGAGGAATCACAGTATGAATTCATTATCAGCAGGCTCAGAAAGGTTCCAACTCAATTTAACCCTCATAAATAAGCAAAGCCTAGAAAACGAAGCCACCTGCAAGTATCAGGGGAACGGGGCAGTCCCCCGTACCTCTCCTGGTGGCGCGAAACAGCACAGACAAGAGATGCCCCAGGGGAGATAACGTATCAGATGGAAAAGCAGTTTGTGCTCGGGCACACTCTTTGAAGGGAAACCTGTGACCCCCCTCTTCCTCACTGCAGGTTGTCAGCTTATTGCAAATGCACAAAGAGTTTGAAGAGCAGAAACTAGAAGCAAGAAGTCAGCTCCCAGCAAAGTCACCCACCCATTAGTCCTGTGTCTGGTTGCTCTCTTGTTTTCTGATGGCTTACGCTCCTTCGGTCAGAAACTGCCACTTCAACAACATCACCTCCATCAGTCTCCTCCATCATCAGATGGACACATGCAATGAGCAGCAGCACAGTGCAGACTCAATCAATCATCTACTGCTCATTAAACATCTTGACTGATTACCCCAGAACCACTCAGCTGTACTAAGTTTCAGAGTGGAAACTCATTGGAGTTGATGTTCTTGCCTCCCATTCTACAAAACTGGGACAAAGGAAAGATGGCTCAACCAAACTGGTCAAATAAGAACATAACATTATTTAAAGCGGCCTTTTTAGATGACTCATATAAAAAGGGACTTGTTTGCTATCCCTAAAGAGAAGAAAACAACAACATGGACTGACAGGTTAGTGGGGTTCAGTGCTAGCTTTTCTTTAAACTTCTGATTTCTCTTTGATTTTTGTACCTCCTGAAGCAGAATATGGCGTACGATTCAGACCTTTGACACTATTTTAAGTCAATGCAAAAATAAACACCACAATCCATCAAAAGGTCATTACACTTACAGTGAAAAACATGTGCATAGATACTAACCCTAGCCTTTCCGAGGAGCATATTATTTTATTATATTTGAAAATATATATATATATATATTTGTGGTCAACTGACTACCAAAATGAGCATTGCCCAAGACCTTGGCCAACCAGCCAAGGGTAAGGAACTATTATGAAAACTACTGAGATATAGGTGTAACTTTTTCCTCTCTGCTCTTTCCAAGTGATACATTCAAGATGACCTAGGTCCACAGTACACTGAAAAATACGGTCCTGTCTTCCTCACCCTTGTTGTGTGCTCTGGTACCCCTCAAGCCAGCATGAACTCTTTAAGCCAGCCAGATAAGCTAGCTAATCCTCAACATTATCAGTCTGCAGCCCGATTAGACCTCTGATGTGGCTGCACAAGGGCTGGTGCTGCCAAAGGGAATGGGGTGGGAATGCACACCCAGGGAGGGAAGACTGCACAGACTTCAATGGGAAAACCCATCATAACACGGCACCCTAAGGAAGGACAAACACGAATGTCAACCAGCACAGGAGCAGGGGACATGCCTGGTGAGACGAGCTACCTGGTGGCACCCCAATAGGAGCAAGCAGTGAGAAAAATCTTGGCCTTAATCTTTCTGGAACAGGCACTAAGGCAGACAATAACCACAGAATGGAAATATAACAATAGTGATGGGAGTAATGTTAGGGCATGGTTGCAATCACCAAACAACTATGGGATGTCTGACTGACCACCGTCCCTAAGGCCAGGTTTCTGAGAGGCTCCAGCCTCTGGAACAGTTTAACAGCAAGAACAGTCCAGTCCTTTGAGGCAGATTTTACACTTCCACAGGGATGACATAATATGTTGCTGGTCAATCCATATATATGCACATATATGAAGGCTTCTGCCTAAGATTGCCTTGAACAGAGCAACAACTATATGAGCCATCTTATTCGGCTGGCAAATAAAAGACACTGGATTATAGATAAACAAATAAACAAACAGTTTCTCTTTATAACAGTCAATATAGTGGTTCATGAGAAGCATGCACTGTCAGTGTAGCAGTGCTGTACAACACTGAAGAGCCTTTCAATCACTGTAAGAAACGACAGCATGACACTACCCTAGAAAGTTTCCTATAAACTCTACCACCAACAGTCTTGAAACGGTCTCTTAGCAACAGCCAGTGAAACATCTTGTGGTTTGTTTTTTTTTAATTAACATGCAGAGACTATGAATTTCATTTTTAACTTCTAGAAAGTAAATATTGATTTGAATTAAAATAACTGATACAAAAACTCAGAAAAAAATAGCATATTAATGTAAACTCATAATAATCACCAGTGAAGTTGTCTGTGTATGATGAAAAAGCATACAGTCCTGAATTTCCCTCATTTTAAATTCCCAAGTATACAATGCACAGTAACACTTTAAAAAAAAAAAGAAGGAATATTTAAGTTAAAAAAAAACAACAACTAATATCATGCTTCTGCACAGAAGCTGCCTACTAAATAGTAGATAGGTCAAGAAGGAAATTGAAATAAAAGCAATCTATTGCATAATCATTGTAGAGCTGTTTGTAATTTCATCCAAAAGAGGACAATGACTAGCCCAAAAGGAGAATGTAAGGCTACCCTGATCATTCGTTTCATCTGTAATGGAAATTTCCCTGGTTAGAAATTCTGACCAACTGAAAAGAGTGGGCTATCATACAAAGAAACAGAATATAGATCAAAGATTTTATCACCACAGATGCACCAACTTTTAACTGCTAAACCCTTAAAAGCTTGTTTCACTAGAGAGCAAAAGTAAATCTAAAAAAAGAGGATTACCTGGGCGGAACTGCTTCACCACAACAAAGCACTGCCGAGAAGTATTAAAGATCAGGATTGACACACTGAAGATAAAAAAACAAAAGATCAATGCTATATGAAAGAGTAATGCAAAAGTATTAAACTTACAGCTTGAGAATTTAGTTTTAACTACATAAATACATAGATGATTTATTACTAAAGCCACAACGCAGAGGGATAGATAACGGGGTTGCGTTCCCAAAGCCCATGAGAATGTACCCAAAATTAAGTCACTTTTGTCTCCTGCTGTGCAGACTAAGCCACCAATCAATTCCTTCTCTCCAACAGAAAAAAAAAAAAAAGTCGAACTCTAGATACTAGATAGTTATAACAAGAAAAAAATATCTTTAAAATAAAAACATTTTTTTCCCTTGTATCTGTCTCAGATTAGGACAGTCTAACTCTTAGGCACAGTCTAGTTTCATTCAGAGCCAGAGACTTCTGTATAAACACAGAGCATCTCCTGTGGCCAAGCTTGGGCCTTGAAACAGACACCATCCAACTCCAATTTTGTGCAAATTTAAACCAGAAGTAGCTTTAACTGTTACCACATTCAGTGGCTTAAAAGTCACATTTTAATCCTTTCCCCATCCTGTTTGGTTGTTTGAATTAAATGTCATAGGGAAACCTGACAAGCTATTTGGAGATGCTCTAAAAGTGTGGAGTACCAATATTCTCTGCTTACTGAAATTACTCTCAGATTTTACTAATTAAAAACAAGGTAGACAAAGTCTCTCTCCTTAGTTGGTAGCCCATTAAAACCTGCAAAAACAACTGTGTATATTTTGCTTATTACCATGGTAGCATTCTCGCATTTGTTATGCCTCACTGTGTGCAATTGGGAAGTTAATTCACTATTCTATGAATTATACAATAGATTAGACTAACAATGGCATATTTGCAGAGTTGAGTCAAAATTTCAACTTTCCTTGCAAAAAAGCTGTATATTTATTTTTACTTTTTGATTTAATAATGAAGTCTCAAGCTGCCAGGGAAACTGCTATTTGATGATTATTAAAAATAATGTTAATGTTTTTTATAATAATATATGTAAAAAGCAAAAAAAAAAAGGGACGAGTCCAGATGTTAACGTGTATATTCATGGTTGCCATTTTCTAAGACTCATAATGTCTATTGATGGCTTCCTGCCCCAGGAGATGTCGTTTACAGGCAATTTTAAGGAGGCTGGAGGAGAACATTCACTCCATTTACTGGCAAGGAGGTTCTTTCAGACCCGCCACCAGAGTATCTGGGAGTTACAGTGTAGGTTGTTAGAAGGCATGACATTAAACCACAGCCTACAATGTTCCAAGTTTACTCAAATGTTATTTTTTTGGTCTTTCTGGTGGGTTTTTTCCCCTTCGTAGGGCTTTTCCTATCCCCAAAGTGGTACTGTTTGAGGGTAGATACTGCACTAAATAAAAGGGGAAAAGGAATTACTGCTACTGAACCTTTGTTTCTTGACTGTGTGTCTCAGGATGTGCACTGCCTGAAACAGGAGACAGCAGCAGTCTGAAGCTGAGGTTAAAGAGAAGAGCCTTCCTGAAGCATACGGTTGCCCTTTACCTTTCTTTTACACCCACCACCCCAGGCTCAATCTTTCGCTTCGCTTGCCTTCTTCAGCACGTCTCATTAAAAAACTCATACCAACTCATTAAAAATGGCTCAGCTATTAGACATTATTTTTTCCTAAGAGTCAATCACTTGAGATTTTTATGGAACAGATGGGAAAATTAAAAACAATCTGTCAGAATTAAGGAACAAGATCAAATTAAGCTGGAAAGGAGTAGCACCAAGTTATTACAATTGTCTGCTTCTCACACCATCTTGAGATGAGAGGGTACAGAAATGGCACAAATCTGTAGAACTTTCTATTTAATTACTTCTGATTTTCTGAGTGACAAACCATTTTGAACATAAATTTACATTTTTTAACAAATCACAACACACAAGTTCTAATATTTCTTGTCAGAGCTGGAGAGTCATGGAGGAGAAAGTTCAGATTTACACCTTCTTATGAGGAGCGTGACATGACGAACGATGTTTGGTTATTTCTTATCTCAAAAGAAACAATATAAAATTAAATATTTCCACAGGTTAGTAGGTTTATAACTTCTGAAAAAACATTTGAAGCTTCATTCGGGATAGTTATTTGGGTATTATAGGAAGTTTGGGCAAGACTGTTCAAGTGGAGGACCCCTCAAGCCATGGCTTTCAACGCTTTATTGCTGCAATGACGCAGATACGTGGGTTCGGCTGTTTGGTCTGGCCTGTATGATAAGGAAAGTATTTATCTCCCGGAGTTTTAAATTATCATACAAAGAATTCACTACAAAATTATTTCAAGATTACTAGTTTTCCAGATAATAACAGGCTACCAAAAAGGACTACTACAAAAGCAGGGTTGCAAATACATTTTTCAGTGGTTTATCACAGGATATTACAAGGGCAATGATGTTTGAAGGCAATTCCCTTTAAAGTATTGAAACCAACCCTATTTTAGAATATTATATAAGCACCTATCGGCTTTAAAGTGATCAATAGAGTACATATAAAATAAAAATATTAAAACAGTCACAATGACTTTTGAGAACACCTCCACAAATAAAACATACAAAAGATAAACAAAGCTCAAGCTGTACATTATCACAATTCACATATAATCACTAGAAGAGAAAAAAAAATAATAAAGCCCAGCTAAAATTCCTAAAAAAGGCAGGAACCCTAGATAAGAATTTAATCTGAAATGGACAGCAAAGGTTCTAACCTAGCAACAGGCTTCATGTGCCCGTGTCCCAAAGACACAAGTGGGACAAGTGGGGTCCACAAGACCACTTTTTTGTTATTTTTTACAAAGAAAAGGTATATTCAGATGTAAAAGGACTAGGATGGATCCAAAACTTGCCTCCAGACCTTAAAAACAAGCTATAACATGTCTGCACAAGCAAAACACTGTCTCAGCTTAGACCTGCCAACCTTTCATTTTGGGTGGCAGATTATCCCTTTTTACCCTATTCCACGGATGTAAATCTTTGCTGGCTGTTCCTGCAGTAGCTCACGGATGTAAATCTTTGCTGGCTGTTCCTGAGGCAGCTGACTCTCTGGGAAATCGCTGATGTAAAAGGAGAGGTCATTAACCCAAATGCAATGCCACCGGGCCACAGACCTGCACCGAGGACCCGCCGAGCACACAACGCAACTGTCACATGCAGGTGGCACGTTCGGTACTTGCCACTACCAGTGGACATGCCAACTCTGTAGGCAAGAGGTGGCCAAGAAGCAAACTTTTCAAAATCTGCTCCACGTGCTATTTAGGAGCTTCATTGATCACCTCGGATCAACGAAGGAGACTTGGCTCTTCTGCACTGCATCTGTTGGTGGCTGCTTTAGGGACTACAGCCAAACAGAAAGACCCCAAATTAAGAGATGACACAGGTTTGTACAGTCTCCACTGTTGAAGACCACAGCCTTTGGTTCACCTCGTTTTCCCCCAGCAGTAGCTCCCACTCGCTTTATACATACAATAAATCCCTACTGCAATTACAGGAGACTTTCTCCCGAACAATACGTGCATATAAATAGGTTACTGTGCAATAATGTAGGATACTGTTCTTTCTAGACATGTAGGAACAACTAGGGTAGCCTGTAAAACATTTTAAGAAATATACGTACCTAAAATGTCAGCAAGACATATCTACAGAGACCAGCTAACCTGTACTTCAGCTTTTATTGTGCTCAAGATTTCAGTTAAAGTGTGCCTGGTCTTGTTATTTAATACAATGTTTTCTTAAAGGGACTCCCAACTATTCAGTCGAGGATATAACATAGCAGTTAACCATTTAAACATCAAAGAAAATGACATTAAAAATGACATTAAAAATACAAAGAAAATTTGTAGGTATTAGGGTTCTCTAATGCATATTAAGCTTCCCTAAAACGTCTAAGCCAATGCACAGAAATTACATACATCTGACCCACGGACAGCACAGAATCTTGATTCCTCTCCCACATTTAAGGCTCTAATTGAAAGAGAAGATACCCACCCAAATACAACCTTTATAGTTGAAAATATCTCTTACAACAGTTTCAAACTAAATGACTCCATTGTGTGCTGTTGGCCTAGAAAACGGTTTCCAATTTTTTTCCTTCCCTTAACATAGTAGGGCTGTGTATTTATGGAACTCATGGTAACCGATGCTTTATGAATTCGGGCAGAGCAGACATTTATATGGAAATATTACTACAACTTCACACACCCCAACCTGTGAAAGGAAGGTGGTGTTTCTAGGAGCCATGTATAAAACACAGTATTTGACCACAGCAGTTCCGAGGTAGGGGACAGATGAAAACTGACATCCTGTTAAAAACGTGCACACACATATGGAGGGACGGAAAGTTAATTCATTTGAAATATAACCTAGTAATTAAGATCAGCAAATGAGCTTTGCCAGAGCTACAAGAACACATATGTACTTCTAGAGCTCCGATATTTGAAGGAAGGTTTTGAGGGCTGGGGGTTAGGAGGTTTTGTTGGGGGTTGTGGGTTTGGTGGTGGTTTTTTTTTGGCTGAGGGTTGGGGGGTTTTTTTGCCTTTTTGTTACTTTGTTGTTTTCTGGGTTTTTTTTTTTAGGACGAATGTAATTTCACCTCCTGGGCATTCGTTTGGTAATCTTCTATCCTGATGATTTGTCAGTTGTTGACCTGAGCTACAGTTAATCCACAAGCAATTGCTAACACTTACTAATTGCTTTTCATGAGACAAACTTTTAAAACCCTTTAATAAATAAAGATTGATGCAGCCTTTCATTACTCTTAGATGTGACATTAATACATACTTCACAGATGTGGATTTGCAAAACCAAAAAACAATTTAAAAAGAAATCGCAATATAGTAATAGCAAAGAAAAGGACAAGATTCTTGCGTGTTTCTGTGAATGAAATAAGACTCTCAAGGCTGGAGATGGGGATTTTTAATGATAATCTTGTACTAATACTATAGTATGCTAAGTAATTGATGAGGTAATACGGGCAAAGAAACTGACCT